GAGAGCCAAATGCAATCACACTTCAAAAGTCCTCCAGCTTAAGAAGGGGTTAGTGAAGTTTTTCTTATTCCCCTTCCTTGAAGCAAACAGTAGGAGGTTTCTAAGGGGCTGTTTTATCTCCCAGATTCTTTTTGTTTGGGAAGGGTAAGTTCCATCTGAAGTAAATCCCTGCTTGGAGGCAGGACGCAGGATCAGATGACCTCAGGCTGTGTACACTCTTGTTAAAAAATAAAAAGTCTTTCCTTTCGGGTTCCTCAGAAAGCTAAAAACAGAACTACCCTACCAGCCAGCAATCGCACTATTGGGTATTTACCCAAAGAATCCAAAACATGAATTCAGAGGGATACATGCACCTCGATGTTTATAGCAGCCTTATTTACAATAGCCAGACTATGGAAGCACGAGAGGGATGGATAAAAAAGATGGAATATTACTCAGCCATAAAAAAGAAAGAAACCTTGCCATTTGCAATGACATGGATGAAACTAAAGAGTATAATGCTAAGTGAAATAAGTCAGAGAAAGACAAAAACCGTAGGATTTCACTCGAATGCGGAATTTAAGAAACAAAACAAATGAGCAAAGGGGAAAAAGAGAGCGGAGCAAACCAAGAAACAGACTCTTAACTACAGAGAACAAACTGATGGTTACCAGGGGGAGGTGGCTGGGGGGATGGGGGAAACAGGTGACGGGGATAAAGGAGGGCACCTGTTGTGATGAGCACTGGGTGTGACGGAAGTGCTGAATCACTATATTGTGTCCCTGAAACTAATATTACGCTGTATATGAACTAACTGGAATTTAAATTAAAGCTTAAAAAAAAAGTCCCTCCATTTTATAAGACCTTGACACCATTGATCCCAGCATCTTGTAACCACAAACTATCTCAACAGTTTCATAAATGCGATTGGTATATCATGCACACTTAACATGTGATAAAAACACAAATCTCTACTTATCCTAAGGCCACACTTCCCTCAACTCCCCACCCTTTTGAGACAAAAATCACAAAATTAATTGTAAATAAAGTCCTACGAGAGGTTAAAGAAAGCCCACACACTAACATCAAAGTGTTTTCTCTGAGGAGGCCATGGTAGGCAGAATTCTAAGGTGGCCTCTAAGATCTGTTATGATCTTGTACAAGTCTTGCCCTTCATGAGTTGACATGCTGGCAGAACTTGTGACTTGCTTTCTAACCAAAAGAATAGGGCAAAGGTGATGGAATGTCATTCCCATAATTAGGACTCATTATATAAAACTCCATCTTAGCAACTGGAGAGAAAGGCTTCCCTGCTGGTCTTGAAGAAGCAAACAGCCATGTTGTGAGCTGCCTACAGAGATAGCCATATGGTCAGACCAGCTTCTAGGATGTGAGGGTGGCCTCCAGGCAATAGTCAGCAAGAAGTTGGGGCCCTCCATCACAAAGCTGCAAGGAAATCCATTCTGCCAACGATGCGAGTAAGCTTAGGAGCAGATTCCTCTCCGGTCCGACCTTCAGAGGAGAATGCAGCCCAGTCAACACCATGACTACGGCCCTGTTAGCCTCTGAGCACAGAACATGGCCAAGCCACGCCTGGACTGATGGCCCATGGAAACTGAGATAATAAATGTGTATTGTTTTGGGGCGCCTGGGTGGCTTAGTCGGTTAAGCGTCCGACTTTCGCTTAGGTCATGATCTCGCGGTTCGTGGGTTCGAGCCCCGCGTCAGGCTCTGTGCTGACTGCCAGCTCAGAGCCTGGAGCCTGTTTCGGTCTGTGTCTCCCTCACTCTCTGACCCTCCCCTGCTCACGCTGTCTCTCTCCTAGAAATAAATAAAACATTAAAATAAATAAATAAATAAATAAACGTGTATTGTTTTAAGCCACTAAGTTTGTGATAATTCGTAGGCAGCAATGTAAAACTAACACAGAAGCCCTTAACTACTTATTCAGAGGTTTATTAGCTCTTATTCCATAGGTAAATTCGTGTGTCTATTTTCCTGGACCACAATGATTAAGGACCGGTACTAAAAAGACATACCCATTAAGAATAGATCCTCTATGAAAGAGACTCTTTGCCTGTAGGCAAAAGTGCTATAATTAGTTTTTGGCTCACAGTGGGTACTCAAAGAACATTTAATGGATGCATCAAGAGAAAGGCAAGAAAAACAAAATACACATAAAATTCAAAATAAGAGTGACACCACTTATTGAAAATCCAGCATGCACCAGCACAGTGCAAGGGACTTTATATGCATGTATGTTTCATCATCACAGTAGGCATAACAAGCTGGTTATTTTCATTATTATTCATTGGGCTTTTGAGATATCACAGATAGGCAAACCCAACCCACAACTTATAACCCACAGCTTTTTTTTTTTTTTAATGTTTATTTATTTTTGAGACAGAGAGCCAGAGCACGAGCAGGGGAGAAGCAGAGAGAGGAGGAGACACAGAAGCCGAAGCAGGCTCCGGGCTCTGAACTGTCAGCACAGAGCCCGATGCGTGGCTCGAGCCCACAAACCACGAGATCGTGACCAGAGCCAAAGTCAGACACTTAACTGACTGAGCCACCCAGGTGCCCCTGTAACCCACTGCTTTTTTTTTTTTTTATTACCCACTGCTTTTTATTATCCTTCATATCATGAGAACATCAGTATCATGACCAAAGCCCGTATTTAAGAACATGCCCAACACAGAGAAGCTGTTGAGTCAACTGGCATTAGACCCTACTATTAACTGTGAAAAGCAAATGTGACGGGCCAGCGTGTGAGGCGGCCGAGCTCTGGGGCTGCACGGATCCCTGCTCTGACACTGCAAATTCACAGGCCTCCAAACCAACAGTGATTCTGGCAAAGGCATTTTCTCTTCAAAGTGCTTAGAACTGCCCGGCAAGACATCAAGTCACTGAGACCAAAAGGCGGTTTCATCTTTCCCAGCAAAGAACCTGTTGGCATAATAAATTCAGAAGCATGAAGGGCTCTTCCAAAAAAGTCAGCTTGTGAGGAGAGAAGACTCTCATCGTGACAAATGCTCAAAAAGGAATGAACGCATGAGGGGGGTCACTGAAGTGGGGGACCAGGGCTGGGGTGAGGCAAGTGAGGCGGTTACCTTGGGTGCAAAGTTTAAGGGGTGCCAAAACATTCAGGGCTAGAATAAATAAAGAATAAAATATACATTAAATATTCAATGCAATACTAAATACATACAAAAACAGAAATAAAATGTACAGTATTTTAATGCAATGCTTTCCAAAAATCAATGTGAAAAATTCATGATGAGCAAAATATTCAAATTAAAAAACAAAAACAAGCTGTGGCTGATTGTTCATTTTAAGACCCTGTGTCACTGTGCAACAGGAATTGTCCCTTCCGGTCAGCCTGCAGTTCCTACCCCCACGAGGTCATCACGTCCCCCAGCGGGCAGGTTAATGAAGGTCGACAATGGCCTGCAAACAGACTGGACAATGCAGAGCTTTCCCAAACTCTCCCACTTGGCTCTGGATATGGGAAGATATTTTGATAAGGGCCTATGAGGCATGCATGTTTCCCTTTTCCAATATGGCTCTGCTCAGCACGAAGAGAAACTGTCAAAACTCCCTTTCCCTGGGCCAGCAAGTCATTCATGGTTAAAGATTTCTGCCTTCATAAACACCGAATGGCCAAATATAATGAACAGAATTTTGAATTCGGTTTGAAAATCTGAAAATTCTGCAATGTAACAACGGTAGGTCTGTACTTGCTAAAGGTAAACTACCAGGAAAGGAAAAAGGGGCTCTTCAGTACAAAGGTCAACAAACTCCTCTTGTAAGATGTCTTGGGGTGCCTCGGTGGCTCAGTTGGTTAAGCGGCCAACTTGGGCTCAGGTCATGACCTCGCGCTTCGTGAGTTCAAGCCCTACATGGGGCTCTGAGCCTGGAGCCTGCTTCGGCCTTTGTGTCTCCCTCTCTCTCTCTGCCCCTTCCCCTCCCCAGCTCATTCTCTCTTACTCCCTCTCTCTCTCTCAAAACTGAATAAACGTTAAGAATTTTATTAAAAAATAAAATAAAATGTCTCTGCTAAGCCAGCCCTGATAAAAAAAAAAATAATCCAAAGGTTCCACACATTTTTAGATTCTTCACAAATAAATACTGAACAGTGAAGAGAGATCTATACGGTCTCTGTAGTCAGACTGCTTGGATTCAAATCCTACCATGTATGAGCTGTGTGACCTTGGGCAAGTTCCTTAACCTTTTTGAGCTGAGAAATAGAAGATAACCATCATCTCTACATCATACTGTTGTTGTGAGGATTCACTGAACAGGTAGGCTTAAAGCACTCAGAACTGAGCCTGACACAAGTGAGCCCCGGACAAATGTGAGCCACGTTAATAAGGGCAAGAGTTTGGTCTTCATACTTCATACATATTTATAAAGACATTTCCCTTTGATTTTCTTTTCAGTTATGTTTGTCACCAGTTTTGACAAAATCACGGTTAAGAAAGGCTACAATTTATAAATAAAGCACATCCAAAAATAAGGGTTTGACTTACATCTTATGATTCTCCAGGCTTATAAAACAGGCTGGAGAGCTTCTGAGCTGACCCTGGGTTATATAGCTAAAGTACAGGAAAGTGTGCTTTCTATCCAAAAGCAAATATTGTAGGGCTATCGAGTTGCCAGATGTAGCAAATAAAAATAGAGGACATCTAGTTAAATTTGAATTTTGGATAAATGAATCTGGTTTTTTTAGCATATGTCCCAAATATTGCCTGGGACATCCTTAAACTAGAAAATATCATTCATTGAGGCACCCGGGTGGCTCAGTCAGTTGAGCGTCCAAGTCTTGGTTTTGACTCAGGTCATGACCTCACAGTTTAGTGGGTTCAAGCCCCGAGTTGGGCTCTGCACTGAGAGCTTAGAGCCTACTTGGGATTCTTGCTCTCTCTCTCTCTCTCTCTGCCCCTCCCCAACTTGTGCCCATTCTCTCTCTCAAAATAAATAAATAAACTTAAATCTTTAAAAAACAAAACCTTCGAAAAGCGGCGGGAAGTTCGTACAGTGCAGAAGGCGACGTGTCTACGGCTCGGGTGAAAATGCCTCGTGTAAAAGCGGCTCAGGCTGGAAGATAGGTCTCTGCAAAGAGACGGCTTGCGGAACACTTTGCAGCTGGGGAGATCATCACTGACATGACGAAGAAGGAATGGAAACTAGGATCGCCCATCGGCCAGGGTGGCTTTGGCTGTATCTATCTTGCTGATCTGAATTCTTCAAAATCCGTGGGCAGTGACGCACCATGTGTTGTAGAAGTGGAGCCCAGTGACAACGGACCACTCTTCACTGAACTGAAGTTCTACCAGCGAGCTGCCAAACCAGAGCAAATTCAGAAGTGGATTCATACCCATAAGCTGAAGTGCCTGGGTGTTCCCAAGTATTGGGGGTCTGGTCTACATGATAAAAACGGAAAGAGTTACAGGTTTATGATAATGGATCGCTTTGGGAGTGACCTTCAGAAAATATATGAAGCAAATGCCAAAAGGTTTTCTCGGAAAACCGTCTTGCAGCTGAGCCTAAGAATTCTGGATATTCTGGAGTATATTCACGAGCACGAGTATGTACACGGAGATATCAAGGCCTCAAATCTTCTTCTGAGCCACAAGAATCCTGACCAGGTATACTTGGTAGATTATGGCCTTGCTTACCGGTATTGCCCAGAAGGAATTCATAAAGAATACAAAGAAGACCCCAAAAGATGTCACGACGGCACAATTGAATTCACCAGCATTGACGCGCACAATGGTGTGGCCCTATCAAGGCGCGGTGATTTGGAAATACTCGGTTACTGCATGATCCAGTGGCTTAGTGGCCGTCTTCCTTGGGAGGACAATTTGAAAGATCCTAACTATGTTAGAGATTCCAAAATTAGATACCGAGAAAATATTGCAGGTTTGATGGACAAATGTTTTCCTGAGAAAAATAAGCCAGATGAAATTGCTAAATACATGGAAACAGTGAAATTATTGGACTACGCTGAGAAACCTATCAGAACTTGAGGGACACTCTTCTGCAAGGACTGAGAGCCATAGGGAGCAAGGATGACGGCAAGCTGGACCTCAGCCTCATGGAGAATGGAGGCCCGAGAGTAAAAACACAAACAAAGAAGCGAAAGAAAGGGACTGAGAGCACAGAATTCAGTGTTGAAGATATGGAATGCTCAGACACACAGACAGAAGAGGCCACACAAACCCGTTCAAAAACCAGGAAGAGAGTCCAGAAGTAAATCAAATGCTGTCAGCCGATTTTTCTTTGCTTCCTTTTGTTTGACTTTCTCCTCTTTTTCTGTTTTCATTGTTATATTTTCATGTGAGTCTTTTAGGGTAGGGCTAACCATGAAGTTCCTGTGTCTTTGAAAAATATGAACTTTTTTATTAAATTACTTTGTACAACTTATTAAAGGTCAATTTATAAAGTTTAAGATCTTCAGGTTATGTACTCTTAGAGCTATCACAGGCTGAGTGTGTTTGATGTTCTGGAGCAGAAATGAGAAAAACTCCCATGATGTGCACTTTCCAGATCGTTGTATGTTGCCCAGAATGTATATGCCTGCTTAGACAGAGTCCTTACCTTGAAGGAAATACAAACCTTAAAATAAAAGGCTTTTTTTGCGTGATAAAAAAAAAAAAAAAACCTTCATTGCTTATCTGAAATTCACATGTAACTGATCTTTTATTTTACCTTGCAACCCTACCAAGGGGCAAACAGTTCAAATATTCCAGTCTAACCCCTACAATACCACTGCAGGAGAATGTGTGTATTCCATACTGCTAATGACGACCAGGACAATAACCAAAGATTATATCCTGCTTGGTCACTTCTGTTCAAGGGGACAAAAAATGTTTTTTTTGAAACAGACACATTAAAACAAACTTCGAAATGCTCTGTCAAAATTGGTTTGCATGCCAGCCCCTGACGGGTCAGTCATCACAAGGCAGGGTAACTCTCTTATCAGGTATAGGACAGTGTCCCTGGCACTACACAGAGGGAGCTGTGACTTCCGGGCCCCTTAACCAGGCCCTGAGGGTTCACATCACAGGACACCAGCCTCACAGGGGAGCTCCACACTTGAAGGGGTGTTGCTGCTATATTCAGTATCTCAATACATTGAATGAGGAAATTCAAAGGATGGGGTCCCTATAGGCATCCAGGATATATACATGGTCTCCTCAGTTCTCGACCAACCACGTGGAGACTGAAATTATAGGAGAATTCAGAAGTCCAGACCATGTCCATCATATTACTGTTTGCCACCTGAATGCTCTATTTAAATGCAGACTGTCTTTGGGGTGTCTGGGTGGTTCAGTTGGTTAAACATCTGACTCTTGATTTTGGCTCCAGGCATGATCCCAGGGTCATGGGATTGAGCCCCGAATCAGGCTCTGTGCTGAACATGGAGCCTGCTTCAGATTCTCTCTTTCTTGGGGCGCCTGGGTGGCTCAGTCGGTTAGGCGGCCAATTTCAGTTCACGTCATGTACTAGCAGTCCGTGAGTTCTCTCTGTGCTGACAGCTCAAAGCCTGGATCCTGCTTCGGATTCTGTGTCTTCCCCTCTCTCTGCCCCCCCCCACCCCCCGCTCATGCTCTGTCTCTCTCAAAAATAAACAAACATTAAAATTTTTTTAAAAAGATTCTTTCTCCCTCTGTCCCCCTCCCCTGCTCACACTCTCTCTCTAAAGTTTAAAAAAAAAATGCAGACTGGGGGCACCTGGATAAGTCAGTCAGTTAAGCTTCCAACTCTTGGCTTTAGCTCAGATCATGATGTCACTGTTCATGAGTTTGAGCCCCAAGTCGAGCCCCATGCTGACAGCACAGAACCTGCTTGGGATTCTCTCCCTCTTTTTGTGCCCACCCCCCCCCCCGCACTCATATTTTTTTTCTCTCTCTCTCTCTCAAAATAAATAAACTTTTAATAAATAAAATTTTAGGGGCACCTGTGTAGGTCAGTCGGTTAAGCATCTGACTTCAGCTCAGGTCATGATCTCACGGTTCGTGAGTTCAAGCCCTGTGGCAGGCTCTGTGCTGGCAGATCAGAGCTTGGAAACTGCTTCAGATTCTGCGTCTCCCCCTTACTCTCTGCCCCTCCCCTGCTCATGCTCTCTCTCTCTCTCTCTCTCTCTTTTTCTCTCTCTCAAAAATAAATAAACATTTAAAAAACTCTTTTAAACTAAAATTTTTTTAGTCTTTTTAAACTTCAGACTGTCTTTTAAAAAGTAGAAAACAGACTCCAGTGACGTTATAATCTCATTCCTCTACTAAACATACAGGACTTCCATATACTGGGAGGAGGGAAATATTATTAGTTACATTTTGTGAATGAAGAAACAGTTCTTTAAGGGTGTTAATGGCTTCGCCAAGGTCACAGAACTGGTAAATGGCAGAATCTGAACTCAAACCCATATGTGTTGAATCCTGAAGATAATGCGCCCAGCCCCTGGGCCAGTGTTTTTTCCAACCTTGCCGTCTGCTTACCACCTTTCTGACCTTTGCCTCAGCCACTGCTGTTTATTTAAAATAAGCGATTTAGGGGGTGCCTGGGTGGCTCAGTCGGTTGGGTGTCTGACTTCGACTCAGGTCATGATCTCGCAGTCTGTGGGTTCGAGCCCCACATCAGACTCTGTGCTGACAGCTTGGAGCCTGGAGCTTGCTTCAGATTCTGTCTCCATCTCTCTCTGCCCCTCCCCTGCTCATTCTCTGTCTCTCTCAAAAATAAATAAACATTAAATTTTTTTTTTTAAATCAGCAATTTAGGGGGTGCCTGGGTGGCTCAGTCAGTTAAGCATCCAATTTCAGCTTAGGCCGTGATTTCATGGTTCATGGGTTCGAGCCCCATGTCAGGCTCTGAGCTTGCTTCAGATTCTGTCTCTCTCTCTCTCTCTCTCTCTCTCTCTCAATCTCTCTCTCTGTCCCTCCCCTGCTTGTGTGCTCTCTCTCAGATAAATACACTTAAAAAAAAAACAAGTAAAATCAATAATTTTTACATCTGTAAAATTTGTATTCAGCTAATGCAGATCTACTATCATGCTCATGTTAGCGCTGTCCTATACAATAGTATCCGGGCAGCCATAATTTTGATATGCTACTTACGTATTTTCTAACACAAATAAAATGGAACCCATAGCTATTAAAATGCAAAATGTTTTGCTCACATGCCACACCCAGCCCCAAATCACTGGGTGTGCCCCCAGTGGTCAATGCAACATACGCTGGGGTGCTCAGAACTCCAGAACCAGTAAAAGCAATGCAGGGGAGCAGGGGTTCAGAGGAGGGAGGAGAAAAGGCTAATGCACTTCATAGACCACGTGCACCGTGGCTACAGTACGCGAGCAATGGAAAATTCTGCAGAACTGACAACTCCTCCTCCCAAATGTATTCTCCTCCCAAAAAGGACAGCACCTTGTAGCAGAAAAATACATTATGCTCAAGAGCCGGGTGACAAGGGTCGGAATCACAGCTCTGCCTTATGCCTGGGGACGAGACACGGAGCCATACTAAGGGAAAATACTGAATAAAATAACCACAAGGTACAAGTCATACACCCTTGTCTTTCTGAAGAGATCTGGACTCAATTACACCAAGTTTCCCTTTTTCTGATCTGATCCCATGATTTTAAAAGGAGGAAGATAGCATGTCGTAATTAGTAAAAAAATGAGTGACCGTGATCATAGTTAACATTCATTCATTCATTCTGCAAATATTTACTGAGTACCTACAACATGCCAGGCATATGGATGACATATATTTAAAAATCGCTTGCCTTGGACTTATAGAATTATTGAATCACTGTATTGCCCACATGAAACTAATATAACACTGTACGTTAATTATTCCGGAATCAAAACTTTTTAAAGATCACTTCCCTTCACACAGCTCCTACCCTGGGCAGGCATAAGCTTTGGGTGTGTCCACGACTGTCTCACTCTTACAGCAGCGGCTCTCAAAGTTTAGTGCAGATCAAATCCCTTGCAGGACTGGTTAAAACACAGATCCCGGGCCCCACTCTAGAGCTGCTGATTCAGTAAGTCTGGCGTGGGAATCTGAAAACTCTGCATTTCTAACCCGTGCCCAGCTGAAACTAATTCACGCTGCTGGTCAGGGACCTACCTCAGAGAGCCACTGGCCTTCCACAACTCTATGAGGCAGGTACTCCTATTCTCCTCGTTGACAGACAGGGGAACTGAGGCTCAGAGAGGTGACATTAGCGCACAGCTTAAGACGGGAAGTAACCACGCCAAGATTCACGCTTAGTTCTTTCTGACTACGTCTCTGAAATTAACCACTGTGATCTGTCTTTGTTCAGGACGGGGAGCCTGCCACGCTGATTTAGCAGAGACTGAACAGGTGTGCTTTCTTTAGCCAGAATTTCTAAAATTCAAAGAAGTGAGTCCTCCATCCCGTGAAGCTGGATGTGCCAGATCTGGGAGCGCAAGACGACGCTCGGCAGGCACCTCAGGTGAGATCTGGTCTCCAGGTAAATGCACAACAGCTGCACCTGTCTCCCAATACCCTCTGCTAACTAATCTGCAGGGCTGGATTGACGTCAGCCCCAATGGAAACTGCTCTCCTGCCCTGACCTGTTTAGAGATTAAGAGAACACAGAGAGAGAGAGAGAAAATATCAAAAAAAGTGAATGGAAAAATCTGCAAGCAAACCAGCCACCTCTAAGACTCCAAGGTTAAAGTAAGTTGACCTCGCACGGTTTCGTCATGAAATTCAAGGGAAGAGAAATTAATGTGATAGCTTTCCAGAAGTATCTGGAGGGGCGATTTTAGCCACATGTTTCTTGCATTAAAAAATTTAAAAAGGCTTGTTTCCTTTTTTTCTTCCTATAAAGCTATATAATGCTGGCTTTATAATCATCCTTTCACTGACCCTCTTTGGGGGCTGACGACTCACTGAGAAGGTATTCAATATAATCGCACTACTTTTCTTCTAGAGAGAAAAGCAGCAGCTCCAGGAGCTCCTGATGAGAGCTGGAAAACACTGGAAGATTCAGGTTGGGTAAAAGTGAAGTGATAATTAGTTCCCAAGAAAGAAGAAGGTAATCGGGAAAAAAAAAAAAAAAAGAAAACTTTGGGTATTTGCAAGACAGAGTGGTTGACAGCAATCAATTGATAGCACGGCTTCAAGATCTTCCATTTTATTTGGTGTTAAAATGAAAGCAATTCATACATGGAAAAGCAAAGCACAGAACAGATTTTCGTGAGCTTGTCATATATCCAGGTACACACATTTCCAAATAAACATTGGGAACAAATAAGTAGAAAACGATTAACTTTGGCTCTGTTCACGCTTTTTTGCGAGACTAATTATTTACCGAGTTTAGCTTTCTTTTGGGTTACGTTTTCGAAGCCGCTGGCATGTTTACTGAGCGAGGCTGCTTCTAAAATCTGAACAAATGAGAAACACACACCCACCTTCACCTTTAAGGGACATCATCAAGGCA